TGACAATCTATAAAAAAAAAAAAAAAAAAAAGATCACGCTTATAATGTTTGCCAAAGTGTCAATCAGCGTCCATTATGATAAAGTCCTTTGAACTTCGTGCTTATACCTGTCTATACCAACTGCATATTTTAAGATGTCACCTAAGAAGTGCTTTTCAGTTAGCAAAGAAAAAAATCTTGGCCTGCAGAAACTGCTTTGTTTTATAAAGCCGCTGTTGACATAAGAAGAGACAGACAGATCTCTAGTCTTTATCTGTGGAGGCGCAGAGTGCACTTCAATGCTTCAAAACTATTTTACAAACTCCCTCTCGTTCCTACGCCCTGGATTATCGCTAAATGTGAAGCGAGAATCATTTTAACGAATCGGTTCATTCAGACGGTTCTTTTTGAAGGAACCGACTCTATCCATTCACAGTCACCGCGTGCGCTTTTTACACGTTATTTTTTTATGCAAGCACATAAATATCAAGTTAAAAACATTTTTATTTAACACTATGCATTTGATCATGCTATGTAGAGTGTACTGTAGTACAAATTCAAGAACGTTCAACTGTTCAATAGAACGATTCGTTCGCGAGTCATACTTCGCTCTACTACAAATAGTTCACAAACTTTGAATGAATTAAACACTTACCCGAAGTAGCGGTTGTTGTAGAGGTAAGAGTCGACAGGATAGAGCACGGTGCTAAAAATAATAACACATCCGAGTAAAACACTACTGGACAAGTCTGTGAATGCCATATTAAATTGGTATATAAATAAAAACGGAGCAGTTAATCAGAGGCTGCGCTGTGCATATGGATGCTGAATGGAAATCATCCCAGTGGAAGGAACCGTGAGACTTTTCTGTTCTGGGTGTCCGCTCCCGGGACGATTTCTTGAGGTAGAGGTGTGAAATAATTCATGTGGGAATTCTGGTGCTATCCCGAATCTTTTAAAGTGTTTTTGGGAGTGTGGTCACGTGATGCGGGGTGTGAGAGGGGTTGGGAACCGAATCCATGTTTGGAGTGAGATCAGTGGAAGTGCTCAAGTTTATTAAACGCGGAATTCTGCCTCGTCAGGGCTGCCTGCAGCGCTAGTTTGATGCCTTCGATGTTGTGGTTTTTAATTTTTCAAGTCAAAATATTTAGATACACATTACAAAATATATTTAAATAAGTAGACATAAAATCGTTTTATTAACAGTTATAGAGTGTCTACAGTAGGCTACACACGCACGTTGATAGTTGAATGTAGGCTAATAATAAACTGAATTGTGCAGCTGGATTTTACTTTTTGGAGAAAAACACATTTGCTATGTGTTCTGAAAGGTTATTGTTAGGGGAGACCGTGTATGATTATAACTCTTTTTGTTTCAGCATCTGTAACTCGCTGAATTTTTGAGCTAGAGTAGGCTACACAAACTTTTATTCAAAGCACCCACATTTGTTTACTACAAAAGACACAAATTCAGACCTCTGCAAGAATATCACAGCCAGCCCTTACAAGTTGATGTCAAATACGTGCAGTGCCGCAATCTACCCCACTGCCGGTGCCGCCGGGGTATATGTTGTAACACTACTGGGGTACATTGTAACAGACAAAATAATAAAAAACAGCAGCTGCTTCAAAAGCAAGAAGTTGCTTCAAAAAAATGTTTATTGAAACAATCTAAAAGAACAATACAAAATAATGTCTGGCTTTCTGTGACTGACCACAGCTCAAATCCACTTTCTGTTTGATGCAGGAGCATGTGATTGTGTCTGTAAATTAGACTACTAGAACAAACTTCTTTAACTGCATTCATGCTTAATGGACACTCGACTCCAGCGTACTGAGGTAAAGAACATGTAGATCTAACAAAAAACTGTGTAAAGGTTTGTGTGAAATTTGTGTCTGGTGACAAAACAATGTTTTTAACCCTAGAGTGCAGGCTTGGTGGATCCAGAAACTGCATTGGGCATATTTTACCCACACTTCCATTGGCATTGAGCTTCCAAATGGCTCCATATAGACAACATGAAAGTTCTCAGTTGTATGTAAGTGGATGCTAAAATGTGTTACAACTTACCCCACCCCTGTCATCCAGTGTTTAGCTAGCTGTACTAGCATGTTGGTTTGAAATTAGCAATTTAAAAATGCATCACATTTTGCTTGATAATCTACAATTTATTCTAAAGTTATATGATTTTATCTGCAACAGTTTAAGTACTAAACAAAATGTACGTACGTGCATATACCTATTTACAGCATTGACAACCATTCATATAAGATTGGGGAGGAAGTGGGTAAATAATGAAATTATCATTGGACTCCTAGTCCTAGTTTATCCCTGATTGGTGGAAATGGTGTTGTTACAACTCTCCCCAACAACCATACCCGGTCTCCCCTACTAAACAGACATTGCAATGCAGGGTCGATGTTAGAGCGTTAGGTAAATGCAAAGGTGATGATTTTACAGTATATTTTGCCAGGCAAAAGAAAGAAAGAACATTGTCTAAGATAGGCTATACATAATTAACTGTGCATCTAGATGTTTAAATTTTTTGAAAACGCACACATTTAAGTGTTCTGAATGGTTTTAGCGTGTTATGCAAATTTTTGTGGTGTTCAGTGCATTACTGTGTAGTTATAACCTCCTGACAGGGAGGGAACGTTCTCAGAACTTTGGCTAACGTTCTGGCAAGGTTCTTTCAAAAGTTATGTACAAATGTTCCTCCACTAGCATTTGTTCAGAGTTATCTGGTCTTTAAATATGTTCTCAAAATGCTAGCACAAAAAAAATTATGTTTTATTTCTGCAATATTTTAGGTGCAATATTAATGTTACTAGTCTTGTTTTAGTACCCTCAGAGAACATTCAAAAGCAACGTTTCCATAACCTTTGCAAAATTATAAAATGGATTGTTCCCTTAATGTGTACATACAAAAATTTTCACATTTACAAAACTGGATGTTTTGAACATTCAGAGAACATTCAGAAGTAACATTTTCATAATATAGGCTAATGGTAACTTAGAAAAAAGGTTCTTAGAATATATTTGGTTAGCTGGGTAGGTGATTGCATAGAGCCCACGTCTGTAAATGTGGCTTAGGTCTGTGCTTCAGTGTAAGTCTGTGTTTTTTTCCATGCTGGCTTTATAATCTGCCAGGATAAATAAATAAATAAGGCACTGGTCATTTTTTCTCCAACTTATTGTACTATAGACGAAAATAGCATGCACTTTCTCTACCAACCATGTAGCCTGGTTGAATGGTTATAAGTGCAGATCAAAGTCTGACCGATTATGTTTATTCTTTCATTTCATTCTTCCTTCAGTTATCCTATCATCCCAGAGATGGCTTTTAATAGGTAGCAACTGGCATTTGTTTGGAGTAGCACCCTCCAGCTCTTGGTGACTCCCGTTAATTGTAGCTACAGCATTCCTCCGTTTGATTCTGTATTTATCAGTCTGTAGTGCGGTTAAAGGTCTTGAACCAGCAGGGCTTTGTAATTGCATGGCAGCAGCACATTTTTCAAATGCTTCCCCCTGTGTCAACACTCCGCCACCTGTTTTACACCCAATTACTGTGCAACAAATTAGCCTCAGACAGGCACTGACAGGAAAGCTGATCCTGGAAAAGCTGCTCCAATGTGGAAAATTAAGACCTTGATGGAGAATTCCTTGGGAACGTGGTTTGTAAAAATATTTAATGAAACTTTAAATTAATATTATATCATTCTTGCGCTGCACACTTGCTTATTATAGCAATGGCATCTTCTAACTAAGTTCAAAGAAGGCTATTAGCATTTAACAGTGACTTGAATTTCACACTTGCCTTTCACTTTCTTGCTGATGTCCACCATAATTTTTGTCCTCAATATAGCTTGAATACAATTAGCCACCACACTGAAAAGAATCATGAAACTCCTGCGTTCAGCAATAACAAAAATAGCCGTTTACCAGCTTCCCACATGGGCTGCCCAACAGAATCATATTTCTGACCAGTGGTTAAGTTTTGCACTCAAGAAAAACAGCTCTGACGTGTTTTTGAGGAATACGGACAGGTTGAAATACAGTAGCATATTCATGACTTGGTTACTAAAGAAAGCAGATCGTGTTCATGGTTTGTGGAGGACCAGAGACGTTTAAGTAAATAAATAAATAAATAGGGTTGGCGGTTATAGACTGAAGGTGGTTTGTTGAAGCCTCTGATTGCAGGGATGCTGTTAGGGACCGTTTGAAACACCTTTATAGCTTTGTGGTAGTAAAAACCAACCTAAGTAGCCTATACAAGTCCTTCAAGTCTGGAGATTTGGAAGTAGTACTTGATTTTTAACAACTACTCTCTGAACATGGTACCAATGTTTGTTGTAAGTATAGGCTATACTTCCAGACAGATCATGCAGCACTGTGTGGCCTGTTTGGGATTGCAAATGAAATGGCAAACTAAACACTGGTAACAAATGACAGATACACATAAAGAAAATAAATATTTCAACGATTCAGTTCAGATTCCTTCCATGCTGAAAAAAAAAAAAACTATAGAAACCATCAGAGAATTTGTAATGGTTTAACTGATTATAATGAGAAAACTCAACTTTTCATGGAAACTGTAATGGTCTCTACTGGTAATTGGTCGCCTATTGGTGGCTTGTTAAAACCACTAAATTCAACAAAATATGTACCAAAACACACTACAGGAAACCATTTTTAATGGTTTTAATGATTAATAGTTGATGGTTTGTAATGATTGTAATGGTATATAGTCAAAACCAATTGAATTTCTGTGATGGTTTTATTGTTTTTTCAGCAGGGTTGAAATTATTCTTTAAAGGCAGAGTAAGTGATTTCTGGTAGCCAATGTTGATATTTGAAATCACCTAAACAAATACGCCCCTACCCCAAAAAGGTCTTGCCCCTGATCCAATATTTTACACGGGTCCTACTTCTTGCCTTATCTTTCCGCAGACGTTTTCCTCTTTTGTTTTTTTATCCGCCATCTCTATCTTTCTGTCGCTCGGCTCGGCTAATGTCCGTCCCATGCACTGAAAGCTCTCTCCTCCACATCACGAGTAGACACGCCCCTTATTGCTGATTGGCTACAAGTTTGTTTTGCTATTCGGCCCGAATCAGTTTTCTAAAGTGTTTTTGAAAAATCACATACCCTGCCTTTAACTATATGATGCTATATGAACAACCAGTCTGTCTTAAGTCTCACAATTATTACTGGTTTAGTATTAGTAGGCTATATGTTTTTGATTTTATGAAAAGAACAGATTCATTACAGTCATTTGTTTGAGACCACCATGATCACTTAGTTTGTTTTAGTTTCACTTGAAGGAATCATTTTAAAAGATCTCGGAGTCGGACCATTTGCTTGCTGTATGCACTGTAGGCCTACTGTTCATATGTTAAATGAACCTGCTCATAAGAGTCATTCGTATTTTTGATTCAATAAAAAGAACTAGATTGTAAGTGTTCGGGAGTCAGATTACACTGGTTGTGCTGTGATTTTGATTTACTAAATGGAACTGGCTCATATGAGTCATTCTTTCGGGATTCGGACTGAAATGGTTGTGCTGTGTTTTTAAATCACTACAAATGTTTCATAAGGGTCATTCGTTCAGGAATCATACTATACTGATCGTGATGTTTGTTTCACGTTGTAGATTGAGTAGCACTGTTGAATGAATAGAAGTAGAAGAAAAACCTCCATTCGAGTATTTTAGTGCATATATCGATCCTCATATGATAACTGTTAATGGGACGAATATCATTCGTTTTGGGTATTTAAAAAAGGGAACCAATTAATTTCAAGTGTATTGTTGCTACTACATCCAAACCCAGTTCATTCACCGACTACTCTTTTTTTTTTTTTGTAAATGCCTGACCAAGCCTGAAGTATTATTTTTTGCTGGTCCCTTTAATGTGCAGCACACACATGTTCCACAGGCATTTATTTGGTGAGATTTTAAATC